GAATTTTAATGAATATACAAATTAATAAAATGAGTTTTATTTATTTTTAACACCGCACCCCTAATTTTTTCTTGGGCTACATGGCAGTGGGTGCTGCAGTACCCTCAGCACCCCTACTTCCGCGGTAATGCTTAGTATAAACTAAAAATTATGAATAGGCCTATACTTATTTGTGCCATTTACTTCTAGATAAATGTACCTCTGCTTGTTGTCCTGTTCCCATATTAATTGACATAAAAGATGTGTTAAATGTATAGTGTTAAATGTATAATCTTTTCCCACATTAAATTTGTTATTGTTTGTAGCATGTCAAGGCTCATTGCCCCCATTTATTCATGAAAACGTCTCCTTCAGCTCTAATTGCATGAATTCATTAGATTTATCCTTCCTCAATCAAAATGAATGACTGTTTCATTCACATTCATGTATTCTCATTCAGTAATAATCTCCTAATGAAGTACTCAGTAAAACAGCTCTAAAACTCAGCTTTAGTTTATAGGGCCTCTGCAGGGTCCATAGCGGCCAGCTGGATGGGTCAAGTGCACCAAATGTGCTTACGGTTGCTATGGAAGTATTCTTAAAGAGGTCACCTTAGAGATGGAAGGAAGGAATGGAGACGTGATTAAAAAAAAGAAAGTTCTGGTTAGATGAAACTCATGCATATGGTACTGCCAGGAGTGGGTAGGAGGTGAAGAGGAGAGTGGGAGAGAGAAAAAGAGGGGACGAGAGTGTGTGTGAATCTCAATGACTTATTGAAGTGAGTCTAATTAATTTAGTAGCTCTCATCTTTCCTTCAGATGCCCCAGGGACACAATGTACCCTGTGTGTGTATGCATACAGTATGTGTGTATGTGAACGCATGTGTTTTTGGTTCAAGGATTAACCTTAAGACTGTCAGAGCAGAAATACACCCTGCGTGGAACATCAAAACACAAGCATCTCATGTCAGCGGAAATAATTCACTTTGGACAGTGTGTGTGTGTGTGTGTGTGTGTGTGTGTGTGTGTGTGTGCTTGATCTGTAAGAAAATGTATATGTGCCATTGAGTGTTTATGGAAATGTAGGGGAACACAGAGAATATTTATTGAATTTCTGCAGACGGAGCTTAATACTCTAATGTACAATTCCACATTCTAGCTGGACCTACATGACTCATTTAGCACTGACTCAACAAGAACACTACACTACACAATAAAGGAATTATTATTATGGTATTTATCCAAGGTAATATTGGTATTACGGTCTATAATGAAGTAAATGATGAAGTATGTAATGTAGTAATAACGTAAGTAAAGAAGTAGCAGGGGCAGTCATGGCCTAATTGATAGAGAGTCGGACTTGTAACCCGAAGGTTGCGGGTTCGATTTTCAGGTCCAGCAGGAATTGTCGGTGGGGGGAGTGAATGTACAGCGCTCTCTTCCACCCACAACTGAGGTGAGACCCTTGAGCAGAGCCGGATTTACCTCTTATCGTGACATAGGCAAAACTAATTTTTGGCCCCCCTTCCTTATAAATATATAATATTAGCACCCCAGCAAACAAAAATATTTAATAATCAGTGGAAACCGTTACAGTGTTTTCTATCACAATAAGTGCTTATGTTCAGTGTTATTGACCGTTTGTTTTGGTAAATATTATCAGTCAATAAAGATCGAATGTAGTTCTTTCTTTGAGAATGGAGAACCGTTCCATCAATAGGCTCCGGCGTCGTGACTCGTGGCCTTACCACTTCGGGAGTGCATTATTTCTCTAATAATTTTAATGGCCTGGAGTCACAACCACCTCAAGACCATTGTTCAGATGATTTATTTCAAGACATCTGTCATGTTTCCGTACTGAAATCTTGTGTGTGTTGAAGTAATTTCTTACGGCATTATTCCGTGTGTGTTCACAGTGTATGTGTGTTCACTGCTGTGTGTGCACTTATGGGTTAAATGCACAGCACAAATTCCGAGTATGGGTCACCATACTTGGCCACACGTCACGTCACTTTCACTTTCACTATAATAGCCTACCTGGAGAAAGATCTGCTAGCATTCCCATTTACCTCAGTGGCTGTCAAAGGGTACTGGAAGTATGTGATTTGACATCCATCTTTGCTCATGGGACCACAAAATGTGTCAACCAAAATGTTTAACAAGCTTTTTTGAAAGAAGTCTCTTAAGCTTTTTAAGACTGTGATTAGTTGATTAAAAATAGAGTAAAACCAGCAATATTGTGAAATATTACCATTTTTACACCAAGTTTTCTATTTTAACACATTTTAAAACCACCTAGTGATGGCAAAGCTGAACTTTCATCAGCTATTGCTCCAGTCTTCGGTGTCACACAATTCTTCAGAAATCATTCTAATATGCTGATTTGGTTCAAGAATTTGAATCAGAGTTTTGAATGGCTCTCAATAGACAAAGATGCTTTTTTGAAACAGATGGTGTAGTTACAACATATACCAGCAGGGGTCATACTAACCAGTCAAACCTTGACCCCTTGTATTCTTGAAAAAAATCAGCCAGGTCATTCATGAAACCTGTGCAGAATGAGTCTTTATGTAAATAGTTTGTAATGCTTGTGTAAAGAATTCCATGCCACAATTCATGTAAGAACGGCTTTACAGACAACTTACAAAGAAATTCCCATAATGTTTAAATCTTGATTCTATGGTCTCTATTCTTCCTGTCAAAACATTGTTAATGGCCTTTTTACCCATTACAGTTAATTATGATCTCAAAATCTCCATGTTTTAATGGCTTCCATTTATCAGAGTCACACATTATCAACTGATCAGAGCTTCCCCAATTATCCATTGGCGTATCCAGGGCAACCCCCTGTCAAATATATGGAGGATGGTTTTTTTGTGTATACCAGCCTCCCCCATCCCTTTGACAGCCATTATAAAAGAACACCACTGATTGTGGAAAGAATAACAGCATATACGTTTGATCAAGATACACTAATATCATTGTGATACTAAGAAACCTGATTGAATACAAATGATGCAATCAGTTGTGCAATAACAACAATATTACTTCGCATATTCACATCCACAATCATCTGCCTCAATGATTTAGCACACACATATCTTTTGTCTACTCGCAGTGTTGCACATTAGACAAGTCTGCCTGACAATAACCAAGATCTTATTTTCTTTCTCTTATTTCGTCTTATCCTGCTGTCTCAGAAAATCAACATGCTGCCTTCCAGCCAAGTTCTACACACACACACGAACCACACGTTCTCCTTCAGTGAGTGAAATGTACACAGTATTACCATCTGGACAACAAAGAATCCTTACAAGGCGAGGCTGGACACCATCTCCCTCTTATAAAATATGCATAGCACAAATAGCACATTGACTTTTATCAGTTTTTAATAATTCACTTTGATTGGCTGAGCTGTTGTCAAGTAAAAATAATAATAATAATCTGACAGAATAAATGTCTTTGCCATTACTCTATACCAACTAAGACGTCTATGCCAAATAAATCAAGGGCAGCTGGTTTGCTTAAAATCTTTCGTGCAATGTCTCTGCGTATCTGTTTATCTGTGCGTTCGTCTCTCTCTCCAAGTGAGAATCAAAACCAACAAAGCTTTATTGACATGACTGTAATCATTACAGTATTGCTAAGGCATTCAAGTACTTACATAGTACAGGATAATAAAATAAAGTGGGTTAAAGTATATAACAATAAACAAATTAATGTGTTCATGACGCATACTGTATGTTGAGAAGTCGTATATACAGTATGCTTACATAAAACACACTCAGATGGAGACAAACACATATACACCTTCAGAGCAAATCAAAATGACCTCAATCATGACTCTTGCTGCCTGCTACTAGACAAACATGAATCATGCTCAGATAGTTCTTACAGTAACCCTTCAAGAATTACTGTAACACAAACACTCACACACAGATGGCAATGTAAAAATTAAGTTAAACAGAGGTTGATGTCAACAACAAAAGATACAGAACCCCCCCCCCCCCCCC